TGTCCCTCCACCTGCTCCCCCTAGGTGGCTTGGTGGCTGCCATCCTCCAGAGGCCACTGGAAAATCAGGTTTGGGTCTGCAGTGATGAGACACGTGGGGCCTCCTGGGATGGGGGTGGATCCGGCCCTTTCCTCCCCACCCCAACGATACCCTGATTTGCCACCCACAAACGGCCTCTCTGGCTTCTGATCAAGCTGGTTAATGGCCATGATCCTAGAGACTCAGGAACAAATCTCGGAACTCAGCAGGTTTTGGCAGAAATCCCTCCAGATTTAATTGTTAAAATTTCAGAATTTCAAAATCGCGCGACCACTACTGCAGTCACGTAACATCATATGTTATTCATAGCCAGCAATAGAAAACAAATTGTCTACTGTTGCCTTTTCAGCAGATCTGAGTGTTGGGGTAAAATCCCAAATAATAATGGTGGGTCTGGTGTCAAAATATTGAATGTGATCAAAGTAGAGAGTAATGTGGAAATCATCTGCCTCTCAGGTAAGGGGAGGGTGTGGGATGGGGGTATACTGGGGTTTTTGGTGGTGGAGAATGGGCACCGGTGAAGTTCGGGTGTTTCATTATATGACCGAGACTTAAACCCAAAAGCTTTGTAACTGCTCTCACGGTGATTCAATAAATAAAATTAAAAAAATGAAAAAAAAAAAGTCAGGTGGAGTTCATGCCCAATTCAATCAGCTAATCAGTGGCTGAATAAATAGCAGTACTCCTACATTAAATAAATAAATAAATAAATAAATGTGATACTGTACCTTTTGTGCCCCTTGGCAAACTGTAGCTAGGTGCTTTTTGTTTGCATAGAGTGTGGTGCCAGCATAGGTCTTAATATCTCAGGCACCTCAGGGCTTTCCTTCACGTCCTGTTTCTTGTTTCTAAGTCTAGGTGTGTTTTTTCTCTCCGAGAAAACAAGACTACTTAGTGTGGCCTAGAAATAAATATAATCCTTTACCTGTGTTTTGTTAGAGGTTCTCAGCACTGATTACTTTTCTTCATTTTAATGCTCTAGGTTCTCTTTACAGAAATACTTAAAAGTTTCTGTTTCTTGATGGCACTCTCTCCTGTGCTACTAAATAATACTATCTGTTCTCATCTTTAAAACTCTTCCTTTGTTCTCCCGGTAGCTTGCCGGGCTCTCCGAGAGGGGCGGAGGAATCGAACTCGGGTCGGCCATGTTGGCTGCGTGCAAGGCAAACGCCCTACCCGCTGTGCTATCGCTACAGCCCGTTTCTCTTAAATGAGTTTTTAATTAGATGGAATTTTACTTCCTTACTATTGTGAATTTCTTTAGTAAATTGTAGAGACTATGTTCAGGAATGTCTTTGAAAAGCCAAATTAGATTCTAGATTATATTTCTTCTTCCTTATTCCTAATACCTTTATGTAATGATCTTATGGAATTTTAGAATTATTTGAAGATCCTTAAGGATCCAACTTGTTTTTGTTTCACTTAAGAGCTTTTATTTTTAATTTAATTTTATTTTTATAAAGCAAAGGAAGGTAAAGGTAAAGGCCCTCCCGTTGATCGTCGATTTGCTTGAGCGGGCCCAGTAACGTCTCCATTGGAGACTTTGTTGTTACTGTGTCTGGCATATCGAATACTCTCGGTAGCTTGCCGGGCTCTCCGAGAGGGGCGGAGGAATCGAACTCGGGTCGGCCATGTTGGCCGCTTGGAAGGCGAACGCCCTACCCGCCCTACCCGCTGTGCTATCACTCCAGAAGGTTTAAGGTTTATAAAGCAGTTTACAATATTTGATTACATTTAATATTCGAACACCAATCCCACCACCATTACTAAACCTTCCCACCACCATATTTTGGAGGTTTTCATCCAGAACCTCAAACGTTGCCCCCAAAGCAGAACTGAAATAGTTTATTTTGTATTGCTTGTTATGAATAATCTGCTATAAATGAGACCAAAAAAGTTTTTTAGGGGACTGGAGCGATAGCACAGCGGGTAGGGCGTTTGCCTTGCACGCAGCCAACATGGCCGACCCAGGTTCGATTCCCAGCGTCCCATGTGGTCCCCCGAGCACCGCCAGAGGTGATTCCTGAGTGCATGAGCCAGGAGTAACTCCTGAGCATCGCTGGGTGTGACTCAAAAAGAAAAAAAAAAAAAAAAAAAAAAGTTTTTTAGAGGAAAGTGTGTGAAGATTGTTGTATTTCACCCAGGAGCCATTAAGCCCTCTTATAAGAAATAGTAACATGTTGTTAAAGGTTGAGCCGTGTGTGCTTTTATATATATAAATATATATGTATAAATATTTTTCCCCCTAAGATTGGTTGCCTTCTACTGTAATCCCCATCAAATGTGATGTGCAGTTCTTGGCATATTGGTGGTATAAAGTATGAAATAGAATATTCAGTCATGGGTGAGTCTTGTCTGAGTGTGTGGAGAGTGGCCATGAGCATGGTGGTGGTTGAGTTCTGGAGGTTTTTGGCAAACATAAGTAGGCCAACCAAGAAGAGCATTTACTTTTATTTTTTTTTATTAAAAATTTTTTTAATAGTGAGACATCATGAGGTACAGTTGCAGACTTACACATTTTTGTGCTTGGGTTTCAATTATACAATGATCAAATACCCATCCCTCCACCAGTGCCCATTTCCCACCACCATGGATCCCAGTATCCCTCCCACCCCCGATCCCCCCCATCCCACCCTGCCTCTGTGGCAAGGCATTCCCCTCTGTTCTCTCTCTCCTGTTGGGTGTTGTGGTTTGCAAAAGAAACATTGAGTGGCAATCATGTTTGGTCTATAGTCTACTTTCAGCATGCTTCTCCCATCCTGGGAGAATCCTCCCAACACCCTTTATTTGGTGTTCCCCTCTTTATCTGAGCTCCCTTTTCCCCTAGTATGTGTGGTTGGCCTCCAAGTCATGGAGTAAAATTCCTGGTACTAATCTCGGCCATTCTTGGCTGTTAGTTTCCTATTTTGTTACTTTATGTTTCCCAGATGAATGCAATCTTTCTATGTCTATCCCTTTCTTTCTGAGTCATTTCGCTTAACATGATGCTTTCCATGTAGTACCACTTGTATGTAAATTTCGTGACTTCGTCTTTTCTAACAGCTACATAGTACTCCATTGTGTAAATGTACCAAGAGCATTTACTTTTAAATTAGACAATCTGGCATTTTATTTTTTCCGTTTTTGTAGCCATATGACCTTGGATGCCTTAATTAATTTTATTTAATTTAAGAACTTAAAGCTTTTAAAAAATATATAAATGTTTAGTACAGAATTTATCTGATAACATATTAACTCCATATTAAGTTTCTTCTTGGTAGAAAACTGGGCTTTATTCTATTATTTCTGGCATATTAAAGACTAGTAGTATCACAGGCTTTGAAATGATCACTGTTACATATTGTAATACCTTAAATTTACTTTCGTGGATTTTTTTCACTGAGAGAAAAAAACCTGATTTTTACCTTACTAGTTTTCTATTACAAGTATAGAAATAGAGCATGCATAGTTGTAAATTTATGCATGAGTTTGTTATTTAAAACTTGGAATTAGGGGCTGGAGCGATAGCACAGCGGGTAGGGCGTGTGCCTTGCACGTGGCCGACCTGGGTTCGATTCCCAGCATCCCATATGTTCCCCCGAGCACAGTCAGGAGTAATTTCTGAGTGCAGAGCCAGAAGTAACCCTTGAGCATGGCTGGGTGTGACCCAAAAAGCAAAAAAAAAAAAAAAAAAGAAAACTTAGAATTATAGGGAGAGCCCAAAGGCTGAATGCATGCTTTGAATGTAGGAGCCTGGGGCTCAGTCCCTGGTACCACCTAGTCTCCCATCACCACTGTGAGTAACTCCCAAGGACTGAGCCTTGAGCACCTCTGGGTGTGGCCTTAAAGCCAGAAGAAAAAAAAGCACTGAATGTATAAACTGATAACAAATTGAGACACACAAGTGGTTCATCACACATCAGCCTTTCCTTCTGGAGGTTTTGTGATGCATTATCACCTTTAGCCCATCTTTTTAAAAAGTCTACAACTGTACTTCATGGTGTCTCACTAATAAAAATTAAAAAATAAAATAAATAAATAAAAAGTAAAAAAAAAAGACATTCCAATCCCAGCAGTCGAAGAACAGTCTCAAAACTGTCATTTTTATGTTTCTGGAAGAAGAGTCACTGGGACTGCATTGTATCTGCAGATCACTGGGGGTAGGATTGCCACCGGAACAGTTGTCTTCTAGTTCATGAGCACAGGAGGTCTTTGCATTCTTTATCTCAACAGTGTCTTTTTTCTTTTCAATTTCCTTTTTTTTAATTGAATCAGAGTAACAACAAAGTCTCCAGTGGAGATGTTACTGGGCCCGCTGGAGCAAATCGATGAACAACGGGAGGACAGTGACAGTGACAGTGACACCATGAGATACACAGTTACAAAGTTGTTCATAACTGGATTTCAGTCATACAGTGTTCCAACACCCTTCCCTTCACCAGTGTACATTTCTCACTACCACTGCCTCCAGTTTCCCTTCTACTACCCCCTACCCTAGCCTAGCCTATTTTCTTCTCTCTCTCTCTCTCTCTCTCTCTCTCTCTCTCTCTCTCTCTCTCTCTCCCACTTTTCAGTATTTGGTTCTTGTCCAGGGTGATCCTTTCCAGCTGCCATTGCCATAGTGGTTTCTTCTCTGTCCTAACTTCCTCCCCACCCTCTCAAGTCCCCGGTCACTCATCAGTGTCTTATAATTTTAGTTCATGTGGATTCTATTATTCTTAGATTAAATTAGGAAATTCACACCAATTTGCCTGTCAGTGTTTACGGATCTGCTCTACTTTGAACTGAAGCAAGGGTTCAGAGCCCACAGAATTAAGGGAAGGATCACAAAGATTGGAAACCGAGCCAAGTTGCCGCTCAGGAAACACTGTCTGGGTATCCAGTCTGTGGTTTTCTCTGATAGAAACATCATTTCATTGCAAGTCTCCTTTGATCTATAGCAGTTCAAATTTTTATATTATTTTCCTGTCTTCTGCTTTCAGATTTCCATTTTGCTAAGGAGGAGCGATTTCCCATTTGGTGTAGCTGATGATACCATGCAAAAATCAGACCCACGGAAAGGTCAGAATCTAAATTTATACATAATGGAATAGAGGATTACCTTCTGTGAAGCTGCGTATGAATGTGTCCGTCACAGAAAGCGATATGAAAGAAATGAAGAGTCTTATCCTTTATTTTAAACTGACATGAAATTTTTAACACATCCTGAATGTCACTTATGTAGCTCTGGATAGCTTGCAGAGCTCTTCATATAATATTCTCATACAGACCTCATATGAGAGCCTAACAAAGTAAGCACTATTTTTGCTGAAACAATGAGCGGTAAGATGTTTATTAAAAATATTATTGCTGCGTACTACAAGATTTAGTTCTAGATATTTTACTTCTAAATAGTTCCCTTCTCGGGGCCAGAGAGATACCAGTACAGTGGGGAGGGCGCTTGACTTACACGTGGCCAACCAGGTTTCATCCTTGGCATCTCATATGGTCCCCTGAGCACCACCAATTCCCGAGTGCAAAGCCAGAAGAAAGCCCTGAGTTTTGCCAGGTGTGGACTTAAAGCAAAATTAAAACAAAATAAATATTTCCATTTTCATTTCATCAAAAATTTATAATTAGTACCAGAATTTAACGGGCTTTTACGTATGAAGGCTGTATAAACATTGGACATATATAGGTAAAACTCTATGAAGAAAGTTAGAACTTTCCCGGATGTAAAGTATTAATAAATCAGATCTTGGTGTTGAATGTCTTAAGCATGTAATCTTTTTAAAAAATTTTTAAAATTTTTATTAGTGAGACACCATGAGGTACAGTTGTAGACTTACAAATTTTGTGCTGGGTTTCAGTTATACAATGATCAAATACCCATCCCTCCACCAGTACCCATTTCCCACCACCAGGGATCCCAGCATCCCTCCCACCCCATCCCCCCCATCCCACCCTGCCTCTGTGGCAGGGCATTCCCTTTTGTTCTCTCTCTCCTTTTGGGTGTTGTGGTTTGCAAAAGAGGCATTGAGTGGCAATTGTGTTTGGTCTGTAGTTTACTTTCAGCAATTAAGCATATAATCTTAAGGATAAAATCACATGCCTCAAGATTATACAAATATTATGTAAGTATATCTCTATTATCTTAGTATGAAAATAGGATCTTCACAAGATACTGAAAACATACTTTCTTTTTCTCCCCGCTCCTGTCACATCTATTTTTTAAAATCTCATCTTGATCCCCCTATGCTCCCCCTCTCTGTCCAAAATGAACCATTGGCTGTTGTTCAAAACCATGGTCCGTTTCCATGTCTTGGTGCCTTTGTTCGGTATTTACTTTGCTTATCTGGCATATCGAATACTCTCGGTAGCTTGCCGGGCTCTCCAAGAGGGGTGGAGGAATCGAACCCGGGTTGGCCATGTTGGCTGCGTGCAAGGCAGACGCCCTACCCACTGTGCTATGCCAGACACAGTAACAACAAAGTCTCCAATGGAGACGTTACTGGGCCCGCTCGAGCAAATCGACGATCAACGGGAGGGCCTTTACCTTTACCTTACCTTACTTTGCTTAAAAATGTTCATTTTTTTTCCTGACAGTCTTAGCTCAATTTCATCTCTGTGCAACTTTCCTCTGTTCCCCAAACAACGTCATTTTTTTCTGTTTTCCCAGAAAATAAATACGGATTATACCAAAATAATTTGTAAAGCAGATTTCTATTATAGCAAAATCGCATTCTTATGAGTGGATACTTAAATTGCTGTCTGCCCCACTGATCTGCAAGTTCTTTGTGAGCATAGGCTGGAACTTAAATAGTCTTTGTGTCCTTAACAACCTCCTGTTATACCCAATTATTTTTTAAAAATTATTTTATTTTATTTTTTAAATTTTTATTAGTGAGACATCATGAGGTACAGTTGTAGACTTACAAATTTAAAAAAATTTTTTAGCTTAAAAACATTGGTTGAGGTACTATGATTTACATAGTGTTAATGATGGTTTACATATATGTTAATGATGGGGTTCCCATATATGTAATTCCAATACCACACTCATCATCAGTGTACCTACTTCCCTCACCCAGCTTCCCCAATACCCCTCATTACTTCCAATTGTTTATCTTCATTTTGATTTCCCTTGCTGTTGGTGTCAAGTCCCAAAAAATACCTCTAAAGCTAATGTCATGGACGCTTCACTATTTGTTATCTACTAAGTATTTTATGGTCTCAGATTTTTAAATTGAGGTCTGTATTCCAATTTGAATTTATTTTTATGTATGTAGTTAGAACATAATCTAGTTTTATTCTTTTCTATGTCATGGTTCAATTTTTTTCATTCAGCACCATTTTTGTTTAAGTGACTCTCCATTCTCCATAGTATTATCCTACACATTTTGCTATGAATAAAGTATAGTCAAGTGTGTTTATTTCTGAATTGACCCATTGATCTATGTATCTATTTCATCCTAATACCATACAGTTTAAAAGGTAAAGGTAAAGGCCCTCCCGTTGATCATCGATTTGCTCGAGCGGGCCCAGTAACGTCTCCATTGGAGACTTTGTTGTTACTGTGTTTGGCATGTCAGTTTAGATTACTCTTTTTTCTGATCTTTCTTTTTTTCCCCTTCAGGATTTTTCCAATTTTATTTTTCTTCTTCAGGTCTTCCAGAACCTTTTGAAGTCTTTAATGAGACCATATAAGTCACAGTAGTTTTTGTTTTCTTTCTTTCAGAAATGTCATGGAAATTTTGATTGGGATTGCTTTAAGTCTGTATGTGAGCATTTGACTGTATTAATTCTTCCTATTTATGTACCTGGACTGTCTTTAGCTTCTTGTTTTGTTTTTTAAGAGTATATTACAATTTTCATTATGCATGTCTTTTAACACTTTATTTAAATTTGTTCCTAGGCACATGGTTATTTTTGGGAGTTAATTGTGAATAGAATTTCTTTCTGAATTTCTTTTTCTCTTCCTTTATTATTTTCCCATAAGAATGTTACGTGGATGGAACTTGAGGGAATCCTGCTGAGTGTAGTCGGGAGAGAGACAGACACAGAATGATCTCTCTCATATACGGGATATCAAGAGGCAGATTAAGGGAATAATAAATGACCAAAAGCAATAGAACCTAAGGACTGATCTATGGAGCAGAACCCACCATGGTTGGTAGATCTGGGGCGGGGAGGGTAGAGGGAAAAGTTGAGCGGGGGCACAGGAGGAAGAGAAGGACCCAGGAACAGTGGCAGAGGAAACAAACACCCCAGGGTGCACGAAGCCCCCCATTGACAGCATTGTACGATTGTAAAGCTTGGTGAATAAAACAAAACATATTCATATTAAAAATAATGGACCGTATTTTTTGGCAGAGTCTGGCAAACTTCCCGTGTCATACTGAATATGCCAAACACCAGTGACAATGATGGGTCTCATTCTCCTAATCCTGAAAGAGCATTGAAGTGGCTCTTTTAAAATCTCAGGGCTAGGAAGAAGGAGACATTACTGGTGCCTGCTCGAGGTAATCGACGAACAACAGGATGATCGTGATTGTGATTTTTTCATATTGATTTTGTAATTGGCTACTTTAATTATTTATTGTTCCCAATAGCTTTTTAAAATAGAGTCTTTAGAGTTTTTCCATATATATCATCTGCAAATGATTTATTTTAAGTGGCACAGTTGAATAAGTGAAACAAGGTCCTTATGTATCTTAAAACTAAAAATATTTACTATCTAGTGCTTTATTTTAAAAAATGTTTTCCAATCTTTGCTTTAGGAGGTAGACTTTGAATAGAGCCCTGGAAAGAGGAGGAATGCTAATTAAGCATGAGTATGTATCATAATGCAGTGAAAATAGGGCCTATTAATAAGTAGGATAGATGAGAAAATTCCACGTTAACCAAGTTTGTCAACAAGAGCTAAAGAGATGAAATGTCAGGAATGCTTTGGATTGAGAAGAAGGGACATAGAAATACAATGGAAAGACATTGTCAGCAAACTAAATTTTTTGTTTGTTTTGGGGCCACATCTGCTGGTGCTCATCAGCTTTTGGCCATGTGCACAGGCGCTACTCCTGACAGGGATTGGGGGACCTTGTGGGGTTCCAGGGATTTAACTCAGTACAGTCACCTGCAAGGCAATTGCCCTATCCCTTGTACAACCATATCAGGGCATTGCATGGCACCAGGGGCCCAGTTGGTGGGTGTGACCCCTGCCTACTGGAATATGGAGGATTTGGGTGGAGGATGCTCAGCCCCGATCTGAGCAGGCTTGGAGATCTCAGCCCCGGGACCCGCATGCCTTTGTTCCTCTGCCGGTACCTTCATACGTGTGGAGAGTGGTCTCAGCATGGTGGTGGCTGGTTCTGGAGGTCTTCGGCTGCTGGAGCCCTGGTCGGGGTGGGGAGGGAAACTCAACCCACTCCCCTCCAAGGGGCCCCAGCGAGGACAGCCAGGCGCGGGGGCAGGAGACTCTGCACTGTTCTCTTCCGGGAATTGGGTTTTATAGTCTCTCGGTCTTGGCCGCTGATGGGATTACACAGCGCCAGGGGGCCAGTTGGTGGGTGTGACCCCTGCCCACTGGAAGATGGAGGATCTGGGTGGCGGATGCTCAGCCCCGATCTGAGCAGGCTTGGAGATCTCAGGCACCGTGATGATTTCATTCTTACTTTGGACAAAATGGCAGGCTACCAAATGTAACCTGCCCACACGACAGAGTCTGGCAAACTCCCCGTGGCGTACCCAATATGCCAAATACCAGTAACAATGATGGGTCTCATTCTCCTAACCCTGAAAGAGCCTTTAATATGGCACTTTTTAAAAAATCTCAGGGCTAGGAGGAAGGAGACATTACTGGGGCCTGCTCGAAGCAATCGATGAACAACAGGATGGTCGTGATCGTGATCAAATATCAGGGCATAATGATGATAATGAAGGGAAGGAAGAAACAGTACATATTTAACACTGAGTGTCTACTGTGTGCCTGATATTTTCTGAAGTGTTATATATATGTATTCATATATAAAAATATGTTTATACATAAATACATATGTATGTATATATATCTTAATTTTCCTAGC